CTTGTAATAAGAGAACACAATGCAGATTTAGGAGAACTCACAAAACTCTTTGGTGTTCTGGGACCTCAATTGGAAGTCTAGATGGGCATTGATTTGAACAAGTTGCTCAAATATCAAGGGCCGCTTCTATTGGAGCTGTTACGACTGTAAATGGTTGCTCGAGAAATTTCGAGGCTACGATACCGCCGGAAATGCTACAAAATAGCCTGAAGCTACCCCTGAAGCCGCCACAATAAACAATGGAAAACATATCATGTTTGTTCCCAGCCCCGGATCACTCCGATCATAGAAACCATCTCGCCTGTAAAGCCCCGCTTAATATGGGCTGACGCTCGCGGGGCTCATCTTGTATGAAGAAGTAAAACGTCGCCCGACTCACTTCCGTATTCGTGAGACGGAACGGTCAAGAATAGCCCCGTCACCGGGGCCTATCCGTCCCGGCCGGCGCCGAACTGACGTGATGGTCCGGGGGAGGACTGTGAGAAGGGTCGGCATCTGTGACTAGGCACCGGGTTTGAGACTTTTCTGCAATCTTTCTCTGTTGATGGCTTTACAGACTGCACGTTATGCCCCAGTGCCAGTTGTGAAACCACGTCCCGGAAGTGTCTGAGATGACTGCCATGCCAGGATGTTGTCCGCACAATAGTGAATTATCTGCTTGCTAGGTTTTGTTGTTCCTTGACGTCAACCTAGCCTGTTACAGTGCCTGTCCTCATCTTTGTAGGAGGTCCAAAAGGCGGCCGTCCACGTTTCTATTATCGTGAAATATTCGAAACTGCTCACGCGACCAAGACAATGGGGTTGACCGACGTATTCTGGTCGTATATGTTGGATAGTAACACTGTGCCGTATAAAACCACAAGTCTTCCCTGGAAATCCGGGTGATTACAACTCAAAAAAGGATGTATGAATATATTTTTTATTCCTGTGCCCTAAACTATGAATCGTGAAAATCATGAGGGGAATATTATCGACGCCTGTAATCAGAGTATCTACCAAGAGCAAACACAGACTCGCCAGGCAATAAAATATGTGAATGAGTAAAGTCATGCCAAATTCTCCATGTATCCCCATGAATGCATGCAAATTGCATCAATGCTCGAAATCAGCCTATACATAGTGAGCCGTCAGGTAAGATAAACGCGAACATCATGTTAGGACCGCTGCTTTGCTTGTGTCATAACCATAACCGTCAAAGTCGTCTTACAAACCCCAACTCTCTACAAATCTGCCCCAAACCTCGTGAGAGATATCGTCTGCACTCACCATCGAAGCGCCAGACATTTCGAGAATCATGTTTTCTAAGCGACGATGCTCTTTCCGACAGCACCCCATCGAAGTTTGCGAAGTCCACTGCCCGAAGATCGGATTACTTCCTGGCCGCAGGATGTTGTTTCGTTGACGCTGCCAACGCTGGCAGCCAGCGCCTCTTGCTTGCCAACCTCACGACCGATAACATAACCAGCACCAAACCCCACCACAGATACAAGCACGACAACCCCGGCGCTGACAACCCATGTGAGAAGGGTTGGCGAGATGCTTGCTGGCTCTTCGATCTGGGCTACCTTCTTTTTCTTAGTAGCCCGCGGGGCCGTTGGCGATCCGGAGCCGTGCTTGCCTCTTTCAGAGGTTCGTGAAGGAGACCTTGCGGGAGAGCCGCGTTTGCGGGGTGGAGATGGGCCCGCGGGTCGTTGGGCTCGTCTCGGCGGCTCCGTTGACAGCTCCGACTCTGGTACGAACCGGAGTTCCATGGGTTGACTGCTAGGACCTACACCTGCGTTGGAAATCCTCTGGGCCTCTGCCTCCTCCTTTGACTTGGGCAGACCTCTAGCAGCATGCGCGCAAGAAAGAAGAGTAGTGAGGGACGCACGAAGGGCAGCATCGTTCTCTTCGCGGACAGCGGGGGACATAAAGCTTGGACCCGCACGGTGGGGCCGTGTCTGCGATCGCTGGGAGAAGGATGGCCGTGTAAGACCATTATGAGGATGAGGAGGAGGAGGAGCACTTGGGATAGCTGGAGCAGAGTCTCTTCTTTGCGTGGATGGGTGAGTGAAGGCGTTTGGCTGAGGTCGAAAGACAGGTTCGGTAGGTTGATCGGAGACACGTCCGAGCGCGGTGACGTTATCACCATCTGACTCGGCCTCTGAATCCATATCCATCTCCTTCTCGGACCGCTGAGCGTTCTCGGTCGAGCTGGTAAGCAGGCGATCATCTTCGCTATCGCTCTCGTCGTATTCCTCCTGGCTGCTCAAATCGGCGGCGTTCACATTATGAATAGCAGTCTGCTGTTGAGGGAGTGATCGTGCCGATTGCTGTAAGCGTCGTCGGCGCACATATGGATTTCCGACGCGTAGGCCGGTAGTAACAATCTCATCGCCGATACTGGACAGAGAAGAAGATGAGGGCTGCGATGCTACTTCTACCCAAGATTCTAGGATTGTTAACAGACAAGTTTCAGCAGGTTGACCTACGTTGTGAGACTTACCATCGTGACGTCTCTGTTGGGGAAGTCCAGGACTCGATCTCGCTCCATTTGGAGACACCCTATTTCCTTGCCAACTCTGATTTCCTTCTCCGTCCATTCTTTCTCCTTTTCGCATAGATAAGATCGAAGTTTGTCGAAAGTCGAGTTGTTGGGACACACGGTATTCAAGTTCCGAGGCGGAGTACAAGAAGGCACGGGCTCAGTATGCTAGTCAACAGTGCAACTTCGCTTATCTCTGAGCTATGGGGTGATGTTATTCAGGAGGCTACCAAAAAGTCGAAAGATGGCGAAGCAGAAGAAAGACAGATCGTGTACAAAGTGAGGGTATAAAAAGGATAGAGTGGTGAATTCTTGGCCAGCGAAGTCGGGGCTGGGGGAAACCGTTGGTAAAGAAGGGTGGACGATTGCTTCTTTGTTACAGGCACGAGAGCACGTCTCGCTGCCCAGTGATAACGACTAAGTAGCGGTACTTGTCGCGTGAGTGGGGAGACAGTGCGGGCGCATGGCTCACATCTATGAAGCATCACATTCTTAATGCCGGACATGTTGCCTAGGTTGCCCATTTGGTGTAACTGCACTGATGCTGTAACGATGACGCTCATCTTGTCGCACACTGTATATTGGTGGCCTCGAGAGCGGTGAAGCAGCTTTCTACAAGTATTGGTACATCAGCCCCCGCCTCTGCGACTGAGCACGCAGCACGAACACTACGGTCATGAGTACAAGGCGGGGTTTAGACCACCTAAATAAGCTCGCAGCCGACCTCCCAAAAGAAATATCAGCACCGTAAAAAGAATTACAGGTAGTTAGAAGAGGAAAAGGGGCTGGCTGAGGCTGCTGACGTTATCCTCCAGCTCATATTGCGAAACGTACTGTTTACTTTGTGCAGCTTGGACATGTTTCAATATGTAAGGAAGTCTTTCGATGTCTCATACTATCTACAAAGTACTTTGTCGACGTGGATCAAACAAAGACCCTTTATCAAGCTCTGGGCTCATAGATCTGTCGACTTTCATGGATCTGCACTATACGTGAAACAAAATCATGGAATAATACCCTGAACCATTTAATCTCCGTGGGCCTTGATAGTTATGGCGCAACGATCATTACCCAGCGTAGCCAGCGCCTCAATACAGCACGGCACTACAGCCCAGTAAAAACAGAACTTATCAGGAACGCCTTGGTCAACTGTCACAATACTTTGTTGGTTTGCGTCATCTGTAGACTTCGAACAATATTGGAACTCAAGACCAAAACACATCTCGTCTATCAACTAGTTACTGTAGCTCGACACCTCCCACAACCATACCTAGCAGCTGACTCTCATGACTGACCTCCTTGATATTCTCTTCGTTCTTCCCAACAAATGTACCACGATTATCAGTGTACGGCCATAGTGTTAACTTGCTCACGTGTAAGTAGTATCTCTCGAGACTGGTCATTCCGTCCCCACCATCCCTGTTTGATTCACGGTTTAGATGACACAGCCATCACACGCTGTGCATATAGATCCCCCAACTGCACATTTTGATAGGCTACAGCTACCTCCTAATTCTGCAACAGTTTGTTATGAATGAACTTTCCATCCTTGTGCTATAACTACCTGGCCCAAGATGAGTTCATACCCATAATCCAAGCGTTTTATCTGCAGTATCATATGTGAAGAACAGATGATCTCGACAATAATATCATCCCACCGCAAAAGACTCACTAACACTATGCATTCACTTTCGATACATTCACTCATGAGGACCCTTGTGACGTCATTGAAAGAAACATGATCGAACTTTTATTGCGCCCCTATAATCGAGATGTGGACTAATCCCGTTGCTACATAAATCGAAAGAATAACGGCAGTGGTATACTCACCAACATCAAACGATGAAACAGTGTACATGGTATAAGAAATCAGAATGGTCTAGTCATCAAAGGCAGGAGATCGTCGTCAACTGGATCCGAGGTTAGCCATAGGCATCGTCGTATCGTTTCGAAAAGCCCCCAGGACCCTCAAGAGTATTCGCGAGAACCGACTTGGTCCACTCCGCAATGTCTGGAAGACAGAAGGAGCCTCTTCCCAAAGAGTCGTCAACAAATCCCTCAGAAGCCCACGTGGTGTCTGCCTTGTAGACAGACTTGATCAAAAAGCCAGAGGCACCAGAAAGGTGCTTTATGAAGATGCCACGAGCCCACGGTCCCTCAAGTGTAATAGCCCCCAGGTCTATAACTGCTTTACGCGTGTGATGCGTATTCTCAAAGCCCACTACTCCATGGAGTTTTGTCTTGTGTTGAATCGACAGCCCACAAAAGCCCACTTATTGGTAAACCCGCCAGAAGCCCTCAGTTCGGAACTGTTGTGCATCAACCCACGTTTAATCGAAAGAAATCTTGGAGCCAGAGAAAGTGGTAGGAGTGCGGTTAGCACCAGTGCCGAAGCTACCACCGCGACCACCACCACGGCCACGACCACCACCACCACCGCGACCACCTCCACGGCCGCCGAAGCCACCACGGCCGCCACCGCGACCACCTCCACGACCACCACCAAAGCCGCCGCCGCCGCCGCCCTGTTGAGGCCTGCTGCTAGCATAGTCCAGGCGAACGCTGCGGGACATACGTCCGTTGCCGATAGGGGCACCATTCTTGGCCTCGAAGACCTGCTTGGCATCCTCAACCGAGTTGAAGCTGACATAACCGAAACCCTTGAGGTTACCGCTATCACTGTTGAGAGTTAGTAACTGGAGCACGGAGGCAAAGTGGACATTGCTACTTACGGATCGGTAGGGAGGCGAACGCTGGCAACTTCAGCGACGTCGCTGAAGAACTCTCGGACGATGTCCTGGTCGACATCGAAAGGAAGGTTACCGACGAAGAGGGTATCGCTCTCGGGGCTGACAGTGTCACCATGACGCTGGGCACGATCGGCAGCGCGAGACTGGGGGTTGGCATCAGCGGGACGAGCGTTGGCGTAGTCGAGGTTGATGGCACGGCCCTCAAGCTCAACACCCTGCATGGTCTCGTAGGCCTTGGTGCAAGAGGCAGCATCGTTGAAGTCGACATAACCGAAGCCACGGCTGCGACCAGTACCCTTCTCAGTCATGACACGGGCGTTGGCAAGACCCTCAATATGCTTGAAAGCCTCGTAAAGGGCGTTGTCGTCAATGGACCAGCTCAGGCTGCCGGCGAAGAGAGTAGTGGGCTCGTCGGTCTTGGTCTTCTTTGCATCGGCATCACCATCATCCTCAGCCTTGCGCTTCTTGGAGGGAGCCTCCTCGGTCTTCTCAACCTTGGCGCCAGCCTCCTCATCAGAGTCGCTGCTGTCACTGTCATTGGAGTCATCCTCGGAATCGTCAGAGTCGGAGTCGTCAGAAGAATCGGCCTTCTATATGCGTGGTTAGTAACAAGTAGCTTCGGTAGATAGAGTTTGGGCGTACGAACCTTCTCAGCAGCCTTAGCAGCAGGCTTCTCCTCCTCGCTCTCATCATCGGAGTCAGAGTCGGAGTCAGAGCCGGAGCCGGACTCGGACTCGGAAGAGTCGGAAGACTCAGCCTTCTTAGCGGGAGCGGCAGCCTTAGCAGTGCCGTTGACCTTGGTAGCCTTGGCCTTGGGCTTCTCCTCTTCAGACTCGCTATCGGAGTCGGAATCAGAACCGGACTCGGACTCAGAAGAAGACTCAGCGGCCTTGGCCTTAGCCTTGGTGGCAGGCTTCTTAGTAACCTTCTTCTCCTCCTCAGAGGAAGAAGAGTCGGAATCGGAGTCGGAAGCCTCAGACTCGCTCTCAGACTCAGATTCGGAAGAAGACTCGGGCTCGGCCTTCTTCTTGCTCTTCTTGGCGTCTTTCTCCTTGGTGACCTTCTTGGCGGCAGCCTTAGCAAGCTCCTTGGACTTGGACTTGGAGGATTTGGAAGGCTTGGTGATGCCTCCAGCCTTGACGGTGCTGAGAGGCTCAGCGACCTTGGGCTTGCTCTCCTTTGTCTTTGTCTTAGCCATTGTGATTATGTATTAAGGTAGAGGGGGGGTAAAGAGGTGGTAGGGAAAGGGTAAATGTCTAGTCGGGGAGAATAAACAGGAAGAAAAATGGGAAGAGGGCGGATGCAGAAAGCAGACTTTTAAGCTGGTGGTTGGCCTTGTCTTTTTTTTTTCTCTCTTTTTTTTTTCCTGCCGTCAGAATGGTGGGGCTCCCGAGGGCGGTGAGGACCCTTCGACTGACAGGGAAGGTGGTCTTTGTGGTCTTGTGGGCCTGTGCTTGCCTGAGAAATCAGGTCGCCTGTTATTCGACATCCAATTCACCTACTTGAGCTTCAAGCTACTCGGACATACCAAGGTGCCGATATCGATTGAGTCCCCATTGTCAGCCTTGCACGCCGTTCCTCGCTACAATTCGGCAATCTACTCAAAAGCCAAGAAGGCGCACTCAGATTCACCATGCCTACCCCGAGTCCGAGCAGTTTAAGGCTCAGAAGCCTACCGTTCCTCCCACCTTCAATGGCGTCGACTACGATGATACCAAAGCCTTCAAGGCTGCCGAGGATGCCCTCATCCGAGAACAATGGGTTGGCGCTATGATGACCCGTCTTGTTGGAGAGGAGCTCAACAAGTGCTACGTCCGAGAGGGTGTTAACCATTTGGAGAACTGCGGCCACCTCCGAGGTTAGTTTGTTTGAATATGGAGCTTTCCCGAGAGCTACCGAGACTACGCTTTTGAGCGTTTACTGACTTGGAAAATAGAGAGATATTTGCAATTGTTGAAGACAAACAAGATCAAGGGTACCAAGTTCTTGCAACAAAACTATGTTGACCAGAAGGATCAAGAGCTTGATCTCGCTGCTAGAGTTCATACTAGCGACAAGATTGCCAAGCTCAACCACGGCCGATTCTCTTCGTAAGCCTTTAATAAATCAGAATCTGAGGTGGGAAGGGATTGCGCGAATGGGATGTTTAGATGAGAGGGAATTATGGTCTAGATATCATGATTTGAGTTTCTCGGCTTACCAAAAAGGGTGAAGCAATCATCTGACCTTGTATGACTGTGTATATATCAGGAAGAAACGAATCAAAAGAAACTATAAGACAACAGCACAGTTTCATTTATGAGAGCCAATTCGTAATCGTAGTTCAAGATTTCAGAGGCTTTGGGCGCGAGGCTGACAATTTACATCTTAGATCACCTCTCATTGGCTCTCCACCAAATGGACCTCCAAAATTTCTCCAGAACTTCGAGCCTCGTCACACTTCGTCTTCCACCAACCCACCATCAGCAATCATAATGTTCTGCGCTCGGTGTCTGCGCGCCACCGCCTTGCGGCGCTCACAGCCGATTCTTCGACAGTTTTCGACGACGACGAATTTCCGTTCCGCCGAACCTCAACTTTCGACTCCCGTTACAGCGCCTGGTGAGGCACAGAAGGATGTCCCTGCTGCACGATCATCATGTGCACCCGGAACTGTTCTCAATGGCCTCAACTATACCAAGGGTGGACAAGACCCTGTTGCAAAGAACGATGATGAATACCCAGAATGGTTGTGGTCTTGCTTGGAAGTATTGAAGAAGAGTGCCGATTCGGCGGATGCAGATGCTGGCGATGAATTCTGTATGTTTTATGCCTGATATCGTACCACAAGGGTGGGCCTTACTAACAACACTAAAGCAAAGTCGAAGAAGCAGAGGAAACTGGCAGCCAAGCGTCAAAAGGCCCTCGAGGCCAAGCTGTTGGCTGAGGGCAACCTCGAGGCTCTGGCTCCTAAGATTCCTCTCCAGCGCCAGTCTATTAATATCCTCGGCGAGGAGAATCGAGGAGTCGAGCATAACATCGAGGCCGCACAGAAGCGAGAGGAACTCAAGAAGGCGATGCGCAAGGAGAGAAGGGCCAAGATTAAGGAAACCAACTACCTCAAGTCTATGTAAATTTGAGATGACTATTTATATATGTACACTACTTAAGAGTATGTAACTCGACTGTACCATACTATGGCATGAAGAAAATGATTCGATAGATTCAAGTCATGACCAGCATCATTCACGATACACACCAAATCGCCTTGACTGCTTCATCTGCATGATATGTTGAGTCGTATTTATCTAGAATATCCAATCTGTTTAACGATCGCCATGCTGCTCATCTCATCATGAATGGCACAGCTTGATCATCAAACTGTTCGAGAGCACATCTCTATTGGCCTAAGGTGTATGATACTCACAGAATACTCAAATCCAACGGTACACTGCTACCTCTTCCCGCCCTATATTTTCTTGTTCCACCTACAAAGTCCCTGGGTTTCGGGAACAAACCTTCGTCCTTGAACTGCCACCTAGAGTCGTTGATCACGATACGTGTCCCACCACCAACACCGGGAGTTTGCGCTGGTGAGTGCTTCGGGCTTGGCGATTTTGCTCCATTGGCTGTCAGGGTAAACATACTTGGGTCCAACATGGACTGACGAAGTGATGAACCTCGAGAACGTGTCGTTGGTGGTGGAGGCGAAGGTGCGCTTGGAGGTACTGGTACTGATCCAGAAGGCGGGGGTGGGGGAGGAGGAGGCGCAGCGCTTGGAGATGCTTGACCAGCGGCACGAATAGCAGCTACTGCAGCAAGAGATGGTGTCGAGTGAGATGCTGCAGGCGGTGGAGGCGGAGGCGGCGGTACTGAAGATCGCGAAGCCGGCGACTGACCGGGCAGAGGAGGTGCTGCAGAAGGGGGTGGAGGAGGAGGAGCGGCAGGAGCTGGCGCGCTGTTTGATGGAGGAGGAGGTGGAGCAGGGGGCGCTGAGGATGGTGAGGGCGCGGATGGTGGCAGAGACATTGATGAAGGCTTTCGTGACGTCGGCAGTGGAGGTGGCTTTTTCCCTATAGGAGGAGGGGGAGGTTTGGATCCCACTGGTGTCGTCTTTCTCAAGTTCGCTGCTCCTCCCGGAGGCGGTACTGGAGGTCCTCGCCCAGGGATTGCAGGCGCAGCTGCTGAAGGAAGCCTTGGTGCGGATCCGACTGGAGGCTTGGGTGCTGAGGTAGTAGATTCGGGATCCGATCGATATGAAGAATCAGCATTTGCGCCTGTGTCAATACCTCCCCTGCTCTTTTTCAACTTGGGCATTCCACCAGCGAAAAGACCACCCAGCTGTGGCGCGGCATCCATGCCTGCCGTCGAATCGCGAGATCCTTGATCACTATTACTCCTCCCTCGTCCTCCTGGGACCGGTGGTGCTAGTCCTCCGGGGGGCTTAGGAGCACCACCCAAGCCGGGGACAGGAGGTGCGCCGCCAACAGGAGGACCTGCCGACGAGTTTGATGTGTTTGCAACTTGAGGTGCTGAACGGTCATTGGTAACAGCTTTCTTGAGGGCCTTGCCTTTGTGGATATCTGATAGAAGTGCGCCCTGGAGAGAATTGTCAGATCCTGGTCAAGCCAACTCTTGCGACGGATATATGTATTCGCAGTAATGAACATACTCTGTTACCTGCCCCAGCAGGCGGACGGGCAGGAAGACCTCCTGGAGGAGGTGGAGGCGGCGGAGGAGGACCGCCCATGGTGCCAGGCGGCGGCGGAGGGGGTGGTGGTGGTGGAGGAGGCATCACGAAGTCGTTCTATGTTCTGGGTTGCGTGGGATGGGGTGGTTGAGGTTGTCTGGCGGATGAATAAGAGATAGTCGGGGTCTTCGGACTTCGACAGTGGGGGTCCGGACCTTGAGGTTATATACGAGTCCTATGACACAGCCTGGGGAGGCAGCAGTGAAAGTGAGGACCAGCCAAGGAGCGGATATAAGGTCAAGGTTGAGCTCAAGGCACTGAATCAGTTCGGATACCTCAAGGCGAGAGCCACCTCATGTTTCGTCATGGCCAATAGCACGCTTACGCCGCATGGAAAGAATGGAAGGCAGCACCGCTACTTACAGTGGACACGCTGGGCATGGATGGTCTGGGCTGCGCCCCGCTTTCTTGTAACCCAAAGTTCCATGAAGATATCTTGGGCTTCTTTCTTTAAAGCTAGGTACACTGACAGCCAGCGACGATTAAAACATATGCCAGAAACATAATGGTATTCTTCACTATAGGGCAGCAATAATTATCTGTGAGAAATATGAACAGGTTACTCCAAATACAGCACCTGGTTATGTCTATTCAACAAGCGATATGACTTACATAAAGTTGGCTTCCACTAGAATTTGCTTGGAACTTAACAGCCTATCAAATTTGTCAATCACTAACAGGTGGGGCTTCCCGCTCGCGTATCATGGCTGCGAAATTCAGAGTCGGTTCCTGAATAGCATCAACGACAATCAAGACGGGAAGAGTTTTACGGAAGAAGGACGCTGGCGATTGGGGATAGAGAAACGACTAGAGCTTCGAGTAAGCAGAACCGACTATCGTATTTCTGAAATACAATCATGTCACGAGTCGGCACCCGACAGATTGGCAATATCTGCCATCGATGCGCTTTCTCACCAGCACCGACAATCGCAAACCAAGCCTTCGTTAGCGGAACACTCCTAGCTTCCATTCGCCATGGGAGAAGGATAATACTAAAGGGCCCGGGCGCACGATGGGCTGCGACCACATCAGCATACCCAGACCTCAACATCCAGCCGGCCGATGCCGAAAAAGTTCCTCGACAATTGACTGATCCGACACAACTGGCAAATATCGTAGAGAGCACGAAGGAGAAGTTCTTGGCGACAGATGGAATTCCGGCGAAGCAATTGACGACTGCGGCTCTCGAGACATGCCTCAAGGCTGCTCAAGCCCTCCAACCTCAAATCCACAGGGCTGAGGCTCAGTCACGGACATCCACATCAAAGCTCATGGAGTTGGGAGCAGAGCGAACTGGCCAAAGACCAAATTCCATGGACCCCCAACTTGCCGATAGCGTCAAAAAGATATCGTACTCGGCCTATGCAATCGTTTCGCAACCCAATGTCGAGATAACACCCGCCTTCCTTGAACTCTACGTTGCTATTCAGTCTTCACTAGGCCGGCCTGAGTCGCTTCCTGCTGTATTCGAGATGTTTGCGACCAAGAAGAAGCCAGTTGTCAAGAATGGAGTGGTCCAATATGTGGCCTCAAACCCCAACGCTGCAGTCAAAGCAATTGAGAAGGGCGTTGCTGATATGGCTCTGCAGACTGCTATTGATGCCAAGAATCTGGACTCAGCACTGGGCGTTGTTGAGGCTTCCTTCAGTCTTCCCGCATTCAAGCGTCAGAAGCTTATCAAGCACTCCACTACCCCTGCTCTCGCCCTTGGTTCTCTTCCCTTTGGAATCTTTGGCCTTGCATCAGCATATGCTGCCTACTGGCAGAACACCATGGATATATCCACAGCAACTGGACTCGGTGTCGCTGGTATCTCTGGATATTTCTTGGTTGTGGGATCAATGGGTATGATTGCCAAATTGAGTAATAAGGATCAGATGAAGCGTGTGACTTGGGCGCCTGGCACACCACTACGCCTCAGGTGGCTGAGGGAAGAGGAGCGAGCTGCTATGGACAAGATTGCTTGTGCCTGGGGTTTCAAGGAACCTTGGAGGCATGGAGAGGAGTCGGGCCCTGAGTGGGAGGGTCTCAAGGAGTACATGGGTTACCGTCAGATGATCCTCGATCGTGTTGAGTTTATGGAGGGCATGAGTTAGTTTCTCCGCTGTTCCCCCAGTGTATATCATATCTGTAAAGAAGAAACTTGGATGAAATATTTTGCGCTCTCCCCGAGCAAGCGACGGCCCCGTAATCTAACGTCATATGGTGGGCAAAATGAGAATAAAGAGAAGAACATGATATATATTGAACATGCATAGACCTGAAAGTTTGCTATATATAGCCCATGCCCCAGACTAGGGGTTGGCCTCTGGGTTAGTCTCATATGTAACCCCATACTCAACAGTCTTCCTTATCACACCTGCAGCACTTGCCAATGTCGACGGTGTATCAGTTCTTTCTAACGAGCCCAATATGACTTCCTCACTTACTTCATCATTTGGAAGTACGACACTTCGTGTAAGGCCCTGTACACTTCTGGGCCCAACGTAAGGATTCCACGAGCCAGTCTGACCTCGAGATCCATCGATGTGTTGAGAAACACTGTGTGATGATATTTTTGACCTAGAGAAACATGATGGGAGGATTATAGCAAGGGGGATGCGGCACATAGGGAGACATGTGCAGATAATAGCCAAGTTTTGTTCGATTATAGTCCACATTATGGAGCTAATGTCGACTGGAACAATGTCAGTAAGATCAACTGTGCATTCTTACGCAAGGTGCATACAGGTTGTATCGGGAGTTTTGGTTGCCAGATCGAGAGTTGTCATGCGCACGATGGATGTCACTATAACACTAAGTCGAATAAGTTCACCTGGTGCTTGACTGGCTTCGAATTTTACTTACACACCGCCACCCATGGTAAGAACCATTATGAGTGCTCGTTTGTGCGTGACGGGGAGTTGACTTATCCATATAGGTTGCATCGGTAACATCAATATCAGAGTATCCGTGCCGATGGAAAACCCAGCATTCGCGTGCCAGTTCTTGTTCAGGCTGATGCAAGTTGGCTGGATAGACTTGTCCCAGGCACCTCTGAGTGGATGGCACTGCCAGATTGATAAGGCCGAGGCTATCGACAAATAGCAGGCGATGATGCCTATGAGGGTATAGCAGCATCTGCGGAACCATTTTTGGACAAATATACGGAGATATAGTAGGAGTATCGAAATTTTGGCGAGATTGACAGTGAGTTTGTAGAATACCTGAGCGACATAGAATAACTAAAACTGTTAGAGCTCTCATGTAGTGAATGTTGTAGAAGCTATGTAGTAAATGCTACTCACCTTGAGCGCCATCAACTTGTCATCTGTTTTCAAGGTTTCGATATGGCGGCCAAATCCGTAGCTGCAGGAGACTACCATAACAGTTTGTACAGTCAAGGCAGATGACTGTTTCGCTGGTTTCAGTCTTTTGATGAGTACTAGTCCAGACAAAACTTACAAAGGATATAATGATGGCTGTGTCATCCCAACCCAGACCCGATCTTCTAGCTACACGGCTCCAAAAACGGAAAAGGATAAAGATAGGCGTGACAACAAAGAATGCAACGCTTGGGGCGTAAATCAGCACCGCGTTGCTATCGCTTGGGATATCCTCCGAGATCATCGTTGGCAATTGAAGACGTGAGGCATGTGTTCAGAGCTAGGTGACACTGAGACGCCAGGATCATGGGAACAACTGATCTGGAGAGGGATCACTTATAATTAAAACTTGTCTCTTTATAAGTTTCTTGACTTGGCTTCGGTTTCGACTGGGAGCACTAGAAACAACAATCTGCATGCTTGTTGCTTCTGTGCAAGGGGTTAATGGTATGCGATAAATTAATAACACGAAGGACATCCACCTATAGCTCATAACATCTAGAGAATGAATCTTGGATGACCTAGTACTCAATAAGTCATCTTAGCTATGTTCAAGTAAGAACAGCTTGTTTGAGACCATCCATTTGTTGAGTGATCAGTTGCAAAGTTTCGAGCTATATCAGCAACTAGTTGCTCAGGGAGCGACCAGCCACTACTAGATTTCCCACCGAAATTATATGAAAGAAGATAAGAACCAGTGTTCTTTTGCAAAATCATTGACATTGACTTCGTCTGATTTTTGCAACTGGAAGAGATTTTATTATCCTGTAAGCTCCTATGGGGTTAGTCTACACTTTGCTTCTTTTCCTGCAAGTGACTCTATGCAACAACTGGAAACAGACCGCTTCATTTATCCTAGACAAAAATTCCAAACCTCGGCAAATCCTGGCGAGTGGTGACTTACGGTCTGCTTTCGTTCTGCTTTACTTGGTTCCAACACGTTATTTCTTGCAGATGAATTCAAGGATGACCCAGGAACTGCAGAAAAAAGCAATGCGTACAGGAGGGAGTCGATCCAACGCGAAAATGCTTTAACTCTTGATTTGAGCTACATTTCATGCTCATGATTGCTATGATGTTGATGGTACATCATCCCAGCATTTTATATCAAGGTGTGTCAAGAGAAAATATCGCTGATTTTTTTTTTCTCCTGCTAGTAGTTCGGATACCTGTAATAATGTAATATCCATGAAACCGCTACTGTGAAAATGTGCTATGCCTCTGAGCTGACAGAATAAATGGCTGGTCTTGTGTACAAAGATGTTAATAGACTGATTTTATTTTAGGGGAAATTGGGCAAGACTAGATAAGTTACAACGAAACACGAAAGCCTATAAAAGCCTGTATCTTTTCATCTTTTAAATTATAATTTCATCTGTTTTCTGAAAGCCTTTTAAAATTTCATCTAAGACCGGCTGTCTTTGCCGTCACTCCCAAGCATGCTTAAAAGTAACTAGAGCACGAAGTAATCATGAAACATCTCGCTCGAGTTGCCGTTTTTAGACGTCGATGCTACCCTGCAGCTCCGATTGATGTGGAGAAGGAGACCGATGAAGCCCACCTTTCCCGGCGCCGTACCCCCGGGGGCACCGAGTGCTTATCAGACAGGATATTTTTGTGAGAACTGACAAGAGCCAGCGAGGGAAACTTGGTATATCCCCACTGGCAAGTATCACATCGACTCTGGTCTTGGCCTCCCAGATCTACATGACTATTGACAGACGTCGCTTTGTTTGGTGGCGGGTGAGGAAACGAACAATCTGGTTTATTAGTGTCAAACAAAAGGTGATCAGTTGAGTAAGTAGTCCACAAACAGTATTTTAGATGTCTTGCCTCTTTGAATATTGAATCTAAATATGACGTGATATTGTGTAGGCCGAGCATATTGGTGGTAGGAGTGACGGCACTGCTGGCACTGCTTCGCACATCTGCCATTTACTAACTACCTTACCTAGTCTATAGGTATAGAGCCATCACGAGCGGATCATTTAACTCCGACATTGTCTCCTCCATACACATAATCTTCACAGACAGAGAAAGGAGGAAAATACTACAAGTCCGCGGTCTGTAACAGGTGGTAAGTCCCTGAAGTATACGATGAGCAACATCACTGACCTCACACGAAGCCAAGGAGTCGAGAAATGGCGGCAAATCCAATAAGTGTGCCCGGAAAGGCACGCACCGTAATGTTCGAGTCTATCAGCGGCCGAGGTCCTCAAGGCGAGCCTCATCTTCTCGGAATAGACAATGAGCAGAAGCCCTTCTACTCAATGTCACGCTGCGTCCTTGCCGAAACTCTCATCAAAGATATCTCAAAGACAGTCCACCGTGTATTCTTCTACAACGATGTCGATGCCGCTGATTGGAATGAACTCCCCCCGGTCAGAAGACCCATGTGGTCTTCTGGAACCCAGAACCTTTTCTTTCCTCACAACAGCACTGATGCGTACACCTGGAACCATCACCATGCCGTTATCGGCAATGGTATACCTCTCAGACATCAGCGCTCACACACTGGAGTTGAGGTTCGGATGGGTTCTGGAGGACCTATCGGAGAGTGGCACCTCGAAGGTATCTACCATTACAAAGGCATGGAACTTTACCCTGACCTCAAATCTTATCTTCGAGTTCCTTTTGGTAGCGCAACTTGCATTAAGCTCAGCTTCGAAATCGATGACGAGGACGATAACGGCATGACGATGATGATTTCGGGCGTGGAGAGCGTGGTCCCTGAACGACCTATCTCACCGCTGGACTGGCATGATTCCGTCCGAGTTGACATCGCGCAGGAAGGGCATCCACATATAATCTCGCTCAACATGCGCTTCGTTGAGTCGCAACATCCAGACCCTGATGTTCCTCACATGACTCGTGTTGCAATCTTTAGTATCAAAGAAATTGCCTTGCTGGACACCGATAATACCACGATTAATGGGAGAAGAGTGCACAACTATCATTATCACGTCAAATTGAGGCACTATCAGGGTTGGGACTCAAAGAAAAAGAGTTGAAAGGGTCAGATTTCTATGATGAGATTTGATTCACGGCTACTAGATATCACTGCGACCTGTATGACGGAATCCTAGGCGAAATAAAGAGTGTCCCGTTGCACAACCTTGAGATTGCTTCCATTAACTGACTGACAGCCATCCTGAGCAACATGAATCACGCACACATTCCGTCCGGCCTTATTCTTCTTTGTTACCGTGATGTAACTTTTACTTCTCCCTCTTACAACGGATCTAGGCGCCTGTTCATGCTCCTGCCTACAAGCTTGGCGTCTCCTCACGACGTACAAGAGAACAAGCACCTCCATTCAGCACACTCCATGTTCAGCGAAACAATGCTATCAACCGACGAATCGAACAGTCAAATGCCCGCTAGCATCGGTTGAATATCGATATATAAATAAATCCTCCCGCTCAAGTCAGACTCTAAGCCACACACAAACACTATTAACAAGCTCTGCTGGAACCCTTCCGGCGGTAACGTAACCTGTACGACAGGATAGCTTCTCGTGATCAATTGTTTTAGTATCTGCTCTACAACTACCGAGCACATTGCACAAGAAGCAATTACCAAAACATAACGATCATAAAAAGACCAAGGTAGGTTTTTCCAAGCCCCGATCGAGAGAACTAACAGAGAGAGATAGGCCCGAGGAACGAATATGTCTCATCGACGCGCTGTGAGTGCGTCGCATGCCCAAAGCGTACAATCTGGATACCGTAAAGTGGATTATGGCCACGTTGAGCCTCGCAGATATGCATCGTCCACAAGTGGAATCACTTATGCGCATTGCTCGGGGGACTTTTCTGCAACAGACGAAGGAGACTTCACAGATGAAGACTCCTACTACATAGAAGGTCCAAGTCCCCACGGAACATATTATACCACGGCAAATCCTCGAACCAATGCCTCGCATCCTAGGCCTATTCCTCAAAGCGAGAGCAATACTCATCCTCATGCTAATGGGTGTTCCAGACACCGCTCTGGAAACGACCAACCCAGAAGCATCCCTTGCTCCGAACACGGGCTTCCCAGAGGTTCTTATTCTGGAAACTTCAGCCGACCAGGTCGATATGCAACGAGCTACCAGAATCGCAGGGCATATTCCGCCTCCCATGGAGGTCGCAATCTACGACAGACCTACCCCTCAGATCACTACGATGAAGCAGGGAACTATGTTGGACCTCCCGCAGTCGACTCTTACTCTAGCGACCTTGTTTCGTTCCCACGACTTCCCGAGTCTGATCACTCTTCACCGGAGCTCGATCACGGAGATCAGGGATGTTTGCGGCAAAACTCCATGTCAGAAACACCTAATAAACGATCTTTCTCAGAACAGCTCGTCGACGGTGTACGTGGGCTCTTGGCTACAGAATCGAAAGAGGACGAGGTTCCTCCGCAGCCGCCTCGTACAGGTGTCTATCTCTTTTGTCGTCATTATTTAATCGAGGAGTGTGCTTGTATCACCCCTCTTGAAGATGGTGGACCGGGTAATTACTGTCAGAGGTGCTGGGAGGGGCGTTGTCATGGACCGCGGCCTCCTGGGTCGGTGGTGAGAAGGTCATTATGGTGAGAAAAGCAGAGTATTAAGATGAGCCAGGAGTTTAGTATGGGTAGGTCCACCTTTGAAATGGCGCCGCAGCAGTAGTCTTGGAGTCTGCATATGGTTAATTGCTCAATAATAGTCATTTGGTCTTTGCTATTAGCTATTAGTATTACAGAGGAAACATTATTTGTACAGAACATGTCCTACCAGAACACGTTTCAAAGGGGAACATGATGTGAATTGTATACATTGTCAAGTGACATTGGTCTATTTGTCCGTTGTAGTTGGTCTTTCAAACCAGCAAAGAATTTGTGCCTGTATGATTGACAACAGGAACCATGGACATGTGGCTCCAAGAAATAAAATGAATCGAAAACAAAGAGGCCCAACTCCATCCGCTATGCATATCTTCTTAACGCCTTGCTTATACATCAGAGATACAATCTCTCGAACCCACAGGCAAAAACGTCAGCACTAGCATCAACTCTTTTATGATGTGACGCGTCTGACCCAGAGAGATGAAGGTTCAAAAGCCGCCTCTCTTTCAAGACGTTTATTGGCTCGGTAGAGCTTCAAGCCCAAGTCGTGCTCCTCCCTCTGAATCTCCGCCAGCTCCTCCTTGAGCCCTTCCACTTTCTTCTTCTCAATCTCACGCTTGCGAATCACATCTGTATTAGACAGAAGCCTGTCGGTGGGCATCAACTCTGTCATCTGCTTAATACTCTTGTTGATGTTATTGCGACGGTGGGCCAGACTGTCAAGTCGAGCCGTGAGATATGCCACACGATCGTTTGCCGACTGCATCTCCGGCGGCGCCGGTGGAAGTGCCTTATCTGTAGAAATGATAGACGCAGGGCGATCATTAGATGGCGAAGCTGACTTCATCGATATGATGATCGGTACATTCGACGCTCTCCTGAAGTTATCTCCGCCTGGAACTGGTCTCCTACGATCCATTACTGACGGTTGCTGCTTCGGTGTGTCCGGGGGAGAAGCTTGACCTTCATTGTCAGCTAAACGAGGTGTTTCAGGGGCAGCAGTGTTGCATGTCGTGACACTGAAGCGAGAAGTAGGCTGTACCCAGGGGTCTTCTGGCGTCGACAGACTTCCTGGCCCTATGGAGTTAATGGCCGGCTTGTTGCCAAGGAGTGTATCTTCGGTCATTGCGGAATAAACGGAACTTGACCACGACGTATGTGGGTTATGACTCGATGGCGATGGTTTTCTTTTGACAGCCTTGAGTTGGTCAGGGACCATGTTAGGGTTGAGCATGGGTGCAGCGGCAGCATGCGTGATCGTGGGCTGAGAGGGAGGAGAGCCGGTATTGGGCGGACTAGGATATGAGTGAGAAACGAGTTCGGGAGATGGTGTTTTATAAGCCTCCTTAAGCTTCTGGGTGGACCGTGAAGGCAGGAGTCGTCGAGATGTTCCAGCATTGCCGCTAGGTGTTTCAGGAGACGGGCCACCACCAAGTCCAACACGCTTGCTGACCCTACGCTGCAAGCTCAACGGTGCAACAGTTAGATCGTCCCGAACCGGATCAACCATAGGCGCACGGCCACTTGCCCCATTCCATGGTGGCCTGGTGTCAACAGGCTCTGGCTTAGCTCTAGCAAACTTGCGAATTCGCTGTCCTAGTGAAGGAGAAGGATTACCGGAAGTGGTACGCTGCGGCCCAGTGACGACTGTTGTGAGTCCAAATGTTTGCTGGGGACTGTCGGATGAGCCAGCCGGTGGCTCCATGGTTTCCCACGGAGTGGTAGTGGTGATATCTGCAAGCTGATCGGTTGATCTAGTCGTGCGGAGTGGTGAAGGTTGACCAGGGCTTGTTGGCTTATCGCGACGCATAGTTGGTATTTGGCTACGAAGCTGTGTTTGTGATTGCCTGGGTGTGAGGCGGCGTTCTCCCAGAAGGTCCAGCTGAGATAAACTTGGGCTCTCATCAATTGGCGAGACATCCTGAGAGTTTGGCCTGCAAGCAAAGCATCGTATTAGTGATTGTACGCTGATTCGGACGGATCGCATTTTGAGGATAGCACGCCGAGTGCTAACAAATTCCAAAAAGAATCAATAAGTCACGACAAGAATGCCCAAGAAACCTGCAACGAAAAGGATTCAGAACCAAGATTACTCACTCGTAACGTGCAGCATCAAACTCGGGGGAGCTTGGAGGGGAGATTTCGATTGAACGCCCGTACATGTCTTTGGCAGGCGCCTTGGAGCGTGATAATCGATGGTGTAAGTGACGAGAGTGGCGCTTGCTCGAGTCGAATTCGTCGTCGGGATAAACAGACGAGGCAGGTCTCCAAGGAGAGTCGTCCTCGCCTTTTCGAGGGTTTCGAGGAGGAGCTTTCGCTCGGATGTCGTCTGAGCCGAGAGCAGGGGAGCTGAAAGACGACAATATGTTAGTCAGGAACTGACATACGGTTGTTATTGCCAAGTCGTATCAGGCGTATGAGAAGCATTAAAGGTGCCCTCGTGGAAGGGGCAAGAAAACTTGGGACCTCTATCCTATGGAAGTGACAAAAAGATAAGGTAGATTTATTATAGACTCAGTAGGCCTTTAGATTGGTCATTTTTGTCACTTTAGGATAAAAGTCCCAAGTTTTGCACATGTCTGCAGGCCTGTCGATGTTGAGCGTACGTACTATATGACGAACGACTCCAGCATTTGCCGATCCTCAACTGGCTAGAAGAGACTGATGAACCTTCATCGCTTTGTTGTACTCGGCACGTGCTAAGAATGAGGCGTGCGCATGCAGGGAACCCTGCTGCGCCAGCTCGACTCATGTTCATGCGTTCTAACAAAGCTCTTGATGGGCCCTTTGTCATGATGGGCTGTGTTGGGTTGCATCCTTTCGGCGCAGCAGTTCCGAATCGTTTTCGGTGTAGTGTATGGAATAGAAGTATAGACCGAAAGAAAGCTAGCACTTACAGACGAGGTGGGCCTGCGTTATATGGTTGTCGAACTGTCTTACCACGTCGAATTTCGTATCTGAAAGGACCGTTTTGAATTCCGAGACCGTTAAGACGGTTTTCGAAATCGTCTTGGAGATATGTTTGGTTGTCGTAGTTGCTGTCGCGTGACTTGTTCGAATTTCTACCGTTGCTGCTATTGACGCTTGTGGTGGATCTATTCTGTGGCAGTGCCTGTGATGAATTCGAACTCTGGGTCTGACGGAGAAAGGGTCGGTTCTTGAGCTCTTGAGGTGGTTGTTGATGAATGCTGGGGCCAGTGCCAGTTTTGAAGCTGTCCCACATGGCAGGCATCTTTGTTGTCAGCTGCCAGTCAGTGACAGTGACAGTTGGAAAATTGTAGGGGTCGTTGAGCTGAAAGTGCCTCGTGCTGCCGCTACTGTATTCAGGTTGTTATTTTTGGGCGTGAATCCTTCAGCTTCACCTCGATATGGCGATGTAAGTGACTGTGCAGTGCTGACGGCAGCAATAGCTCAAACGGCGGCGGGACCTGAGTGTGGCGGAGGCCTTCCAGAAGCTGGGGCTGGAACGAGTGTGCTTAAAGCTGTAGCAATGGATGACCCGAGTTTGGAAGGCTCTGGAGTGGATAAGCATAAGGGAAAAAGCAATTGAATCGTCGTCGTATACTGTAGGCACGAGTCCAGCTCCAAGCCTGGATTCAAGTTGAATGAATTAATGTGGGCTAGAGTGAAGAAGAGCGAAAAATGAAAATGAAAAAGAGCAAGAGACAGACAGACGGACAAACAAGAGAGGGAAGACTCGAGCACAACAGGGAAATGATTCCTTGTTGACGACATGGAACCTGGGGGTTCTTTAATCAAAACCTTTTCAAAATTAGGTGCAATGGCTGTTGGCTGGTCAGTCCCCTGGAGCCCACTGCAGCTGTGGTGTATTAATTTAAGGCCTGGTGCTTGCACCCAGCGCCAACCGATTGCCTTGTTCCCCGGCCCTCGAGGCTGTTGGCGCCTCTTGTTTAAATGAGGCAGGGATACGACAATACGACGGCATAGGATGATGGGTATCTACCGTAAAATTGTGGCTCTCGATAGCCAACCGACCGAGAGTAACGCCAGTGCTTTGCTGGAGTGTTTAGCCAGCGGGTCTTGTTTTGATATCATGATGTATGGACGGACAGCAGTTGTGTTGGATATACAGGCGCCAAAGTATAATATTCCCAAGCGCCGTGGCCTTGTTGTGGCATCTGAAGACTGGAGATGCAGTTTGACTGGCTTGAATGAGCCGCCATTAGTCGCTCTGGCGCTAGGTTCCATCAAGACGTACCAGAGAAAGCCGTGACATATCCTCTAATAAGTGCTAACGAGAACTCTTGTCAAGAAGCTTATTTTACCTCAAAAATGCAGTAAAAAGGAGAGTTCGGATGAACAGTCACTCTTCACCTGCTAGAACCAGGAGTGATCATCCCCGTCATCACAAGCTTTCACAAGCCGAACAACACCAGAAGGTAAAGATTGACACTCTAGAAAAAGTATATTGGTAGGATCGTCCAGACCATGAAAGAGATCTTTCCATTTTTGGGCCTGTACCTGTCAATTCAGCAGGGGGCCAGAGCGGACTTGTTTCAGATTGCTCAGGGGCTATGATTTGAAACTTGGGGCATCATCTTCCGTGCACTCAAAGCTGACGGCCAAGTGGAACCACCAACAGGAAAAAGAAACAACATCTCATTTACATGAATTGCGAACCTTTCCTAGCCTTTTCCCGCTCAGTCCACACAAAGCTAGAGGTTGGCGGATCATCACCCTAAAACACCAAACCTTGCGACAGCTGTTGAAGCTAAGCTCTCTCTGTATTTCTCCGTCGGGGATATCGTCTATTTTCTTGCTGAGCCTTACGAAGGACCCTGATCCCAGCTATTTCACATCGTCCCCTGTTGTCTTTTGCCGGAAGACCCGTTTGTTACCGCTGTTGCCGTTCACCTCTTATGGCATGGCAAGCATAGCATGTCAGGAGATTTCGAGTTGCCACTTTTCTTCCTGGTCCCTGGACCATTGGAGGCCGACAGATAACGAGCAG